ATGCAAAAGCAATGAAAAAACGGTGTACAATCATTGAAAGTTGACTTGCGGAATGTTTGTAGATTCCACGTATGTCTTGATAATATAAAATGAGTACGAATGCACAAAGTAGAGTCGTATACGTTGACATAATGGACATAAAACAATTTTTTATTTCGAATTTTTCGAGCACGCTTGTGCTCTTTCTTAAAAAACTTGTTCTTCTTTAATGAATTGGTTTAGATGGCGCTGTTCTTACAAATGTGTCTATATATGTGTTCTTTCCCTTAGGGGGAACCCATTGTTCCTTTGTGAGCGATTTTATCTTCGTTTGGTTCGGTTGGTTCTGGTTCTATCATTTCGGGTATTAATTCTCTCACCGAACTTATTTCGGGTTTTATTGACAGCATCCTCAACCCACTACTCCCTAACATTAAAAGTCACATACAAGACACCACGCACTTACTTGGCAAACTCCAAGAGATAACACACTTACCAGATAACACTCTACTGGTCACCATGGATGTCACTGGCCTTTATACTAACATCCCCCATAATGAACGTCTAGATGCTTGCAAACACTTTCTGAATGAATTTTATCCTACACCTTATACATCTGATCATATTTCACTAACCGACTTTATTCTAACCTACAATCATTTTAAATTTAATAATTCTAACTATCGCCAAAATAAAAGCACAGCTATGGGTACTAAAATGCCCCCCCTCATACGCCAACATATTCATGGACTATTTTGAAAACAAAAACATCTACACGGGCCCTCTCCAGCCTCTATTTTACGGCCGCTATATCGATGACATCTTCTTTATTTGGGCACATTGCTCTGACACACTCAACTCATTTATCTCTCACATCAATAACTCACATCATAGCATTTTTCACCACGGAAAACTCTTACTCAGAAATCCCATTTTTAGATGTATTAGTTGGTTTAAAAGATAATGAAGTCACGTCAACAGCTTACACAGCCCACAAACAACCACAGATATCTTAACTTCAATAGCGCTCATCCAATAAAACTCAAAAAGTCCATAATATATAGTCAGGCGCTCAGAATAAAATGAATTTGCTCCACCAATACGGAATTCGTTAAACACATAAACACTCTCATCCAAAAATTAAGACTCAGCAATTTCCCCATGAAACTAATCAAATCATTAATTATTCGTATAAATCTCGCCAGCAACTTCTTGAATATAAAGCTAAGTCGAATTCTATTCGCATACCCCTTGTCCTCGACTACAACCCCCGAATACAACATCTCGCCAAAACTATCACCCACGATTTTCGAATTCTTTGTGATTGCACTTCAAATTCAGAAGCACTCAAATCACCACCTCTCATAGCATACCGACAACCTCCTAACCTTAATTCAATACTAACTTCATCGAACTTTCCATTATCACCCCTAAATTTGGTAATCGCCCTTGTGGTAATTCACGATGCCACATTTCTAAGCTTCTTATTACCGACGACACCATCAACATCCGCTACTAAACCATACACCCACCATCGCTCACTTGCAACGCCCCAAATGTCATATATCCTATTTGGTGTACCCAATGTATGGATACTATATACGTCGGGGAAACTGGTTGCATATTTAGAATAAGATACAATAATAATTTTTTAAAAAATCTATTAGAGACAATACACTAGGCTTTCCTGTAGCTAAGTTCATTTTAGTAAGTACAGGTATTAATTCCCTCACCGACAGACGTTGTTGCGAATTGAAATGGATCATTAAATTAAATACTCACAAAGATGGCATAAATAAAGATTTAGGATTTCTCACAGATTACACTTTTTATTAATCAATGTATTCATCCATCTAGATACACTTTATTCATCCTTTATATACTCTTTAACTTGTTATATTTCATTTTCACAAAAATTGTTTTATGTCTATTATGTCAACGTATACGACTTTACATTGTGCATTCGTACTCATTATATATATATATATATTATATATATAAATTAAGTTTTTAAAAAGAATCTAATGTCAAATAAGTTTCCATTTATATTACTTTATGCAGTAATTATATAAACATAATTAATAGAATCAAGAGTAATAATATTTGTTTTATTTGCAAATATTAAAATATAAAATTCAGTAATTTAAATCATTTGGTTCGGTTTTTTAAAATATAAATCATTTTATTTGTTTGGTTTTATTTTTAGATATAATAATTTATCAATTAATCGTTCGTGAATTTTAAACAAATTAATTAATTTAAGAGATGCTACTGTCGCAGGTAATTTTTAAAAATGTTACTAGATCTTTATAGATATTTATATTAACTTATTTTTTTATGTAAATTCCTGCTAAAAACGTTTTTAAAGTTCATTTGACAGTTTCATCTTGTTAAACAAAATGTTACTACTAGATAGAGCTTAAAGTTATATTTTAACATGCTGTATTATAAAAATAAATAAATTTATATTAAATTGGTATGTTTCACTAATCCTTTTTAAAAAACTGACCTGTTATAAGTTCACTTAAACAAATTAATAACAAAGTGTATGCTGATTTATTGATTCAATTGTTGCTATTTTGAGGCATAGTTGGAAGATTTTTAAAAAAATCCGTTTTTAAATACTAAATTTTATTATTAGAGGCCATTTGTACTTACCTGTCATTTAGGAACATTTTTAGCAGGGCCAATTTTTCATTGCCCATTTTTCCAGGGTCATTTTGGCCTACGTTCTAAAAATATGATTGATAGAAGAAAGAGTTGTGTTACTTTTATGTTGTCAACATTTACATTACCTAATCAGGTATAATTTTTCGACATGCATTACTGAATCTGAAATGATCTGTATAGAAGCTAAGCTAGAATCCTGAAAAATTGCTATATGTGGTATAATTTGTAGATTTATATTCCAAAACATATAATAAACAGTTTCCACTTGTAATGCAAATGATAACTCTGAAAAAATAAGGTAACTATAATCAAGCATCTGAGGGTAATACAACCAGGAACACATAGACACGCTCATTTTGACTTCATTTCAATCAATAATAACCAGGCCCACTAGAATTACTGATTCATTTGTCTCTCTAATTGACAACATATTTCCAATATTGATTACAATAAACCAGGCCCACTAGAATTGCTAAAACTTTTGTCTCTCTAATTGACAACATTTTTTGCAATATTAATTCATTTACAATGTCCGTTAGAAGAGGTATTCTTGTTACTGACATTTCTTAAAGCTTTCCAATTGTTTGAACCACAATCTAAAAGGTTGTAAATTCAACTATAAACGTGAATACTCAGTCAATCGAACCGACTGTTTTATACGAGAATTACAAAACAATCATTGGAACAATGTTCAATTAAATGCTAATGAGGCAAACACTGCTTTTCAAAGGTTCACGAACACTTGAAAAAAGACAAAGAACTGTATATAAACAAATCAATCACTGTTATATTATTAAATCGTAACAAAGAATATCCAATTCATTCTACCATATTGATATATCCACTCGAATATTAGATACTTGATATCCGTAAGGTCTCTATTAACTAGTACATTCGACAGGTCTTCTTTATTTAACACAGAACCAAAGTACTTATTGAGTATTTCAAATTCACTGAAATTATCTGTTATTAATTTTCCATCCTCATACAATGTACTGATTCCCGCTTTTATTTTAGTACGAAAACTAGCTAAGAACAAGTTTCAAAAAGCTTTTGGATTTGATTTAATATTGCGTGCTATTCTAAGCTCATTATTGAATTTCTCAAAATTGTGAAGTGTTGGTAGTCTTCTTGTAATTTGGTTTTTAAGCAATGTCGCCAAGCTTTGTTTTTTGTCATTGGGGGAAAACCTAAGGGGTTCTCAATGGTTCAGATTGCTTATACAGCTATATAATTTTTTTTGTTCTAATTGGTAATGACTCCTCAGTAGCATTGACGACATTTTTTTACATTTTCATCCAATTTTGGTCAACATCATTTGAATCCAACTCGTCATCCCAATCGATAATAGACATTTATCTCCACAGAAGATCATAATATTCTTTATTAAACACAAATTTCTTACTAAATGTCAAAGTAGAAACAGTGGCTCTTTCAATCTCTTTTAGCATGATCACTTTTGCCGAAAGTGGGCTCAAAGCAATGACTAAATGGATGTTTATCTTATTGCAAAACTTGAGTTCCAATATTGAGGTCCCATGAGTGGCTAATTAAAGTCTCCTACAATAACAAATTATATACAGTATACCAGAGGGTGCGCTAGCGTAGCTCGCTTACCCTCTAGTATGTTAAACATCGCGATTAGTTTTGATAACATAGAACAATTATTTATGACCACTAAAAGTACAGACGAAAATACACAAAAAAAATTCTACAGAAATTTATCACTGGGCCTAGACCCTACGGTCAGGTTACCATGTTCTCCTAGAAGTCATGAATAAATGTGGTGGTGAATGCTATGCATTTATTTGTGTTGATGGTAGGGATATGCCTATGTAGGATAAATGAAGTAAGGCGATTGAAGATATTTCTGTAGATCGAAATAGGAAGTTTCAACATAGTTTAGACACTTTATGTTAATATGCTGCGAATTTTATATGTTTATATACTCAAAGGTCTAGAGGACATAAGGTCTACCTTGGTGTCAGAAAGTGATGAATTAGGACAGCTACCACATTGAAAATTTCAAATTTGTTCGGTCGGTAGGCAGGGAGATTTTTGTTTGTTTGTTTTTTTTATTTCTTAAATTTTGTTCATTTTTTTTTTTTTTAAATTTTTTTTTTGTTTATTAATGAATTGGTTTAGATGGTGCTGTTCTTACAAATGTGTCTATACATGTACGTGTTCTTTTCTTTAGGGGAATCCATTGTTCCTTTGTGAGCCTATATAAGGCATATTTTGGAGTATGCTGCCCCTGTGTGACATGGCGCTATTACTAAACACAAGTCTATTGAAAGGGTACAAAAGAGAGCTTTTCGTATGATTTTAGGATGTAATTATTTGCACTATGACCATATGCCCTCTCTGTTACTGGATTACCAAACCTTGTGACAAGAAGGGAAAGACTAGTTTTGTCTTTTGGAGAAAGTTTGTTGCTGTCTTGCATGTTCAGAGAATTTCTTCCCCTCTATCATGACCTAGAGTAGGCATATTTCCAAAATTACTAGCTCCTCAACATATCACTTGCGCAATATAAGAAAGATTAGGAAGTACCTCTCTAGGAAAGCAATAGCACAACTGATTCATGCATTCGTTACTTCATATCTTGACTTTGGGAATTCTCTATTTTTTGGTATTCTAAGAGATCCGTGCATCGCCTTCAACTGTTGCAGAATACATCTGCTAGGATCATTACAGGAACAAACAAAATTGAGCACATCACTCCGATTTTACAAGAACTTCATTGGCATTTTCAAGATTTTGCTCATTACTTTTAAGACTCTAATAGATGAAGGTCCTGGGTATCTTCGTGAACTGCTTGTGTGGTACGTGCCATCGCAAACCCTCCGCTCTAGTACTGACAAACTTCTGCTTGTTGAGCCTAGGTCTGCACGTTCTTGGGGTGATCGATCATTTGCTGTTGCGGCTCCACGCCTTTTGGAATAACTGCCTATAATATTCACTCGTGTCAGTCTACTGCTTTGTTCAAAAAAGCTCTCAAGACGCATCTGCTGTCGGCTGCTTTTTCCTATTTCTCTCGTTTGTTTTGCTTGCTTGCTTAATTGTTTTAGTTAGATACTCCCATTACTTAAGAACCTGTGAGTAATGAATAGACGGGTCCCTGTGCCTTAAATTTCCTGTAAACGGTGCGGTGATGGTGTGGTGTTCCTTTTCTTGTAGCTTTAGGTTCATGTTAATGTTTGGTTCATTCGTAGCGCCTTGAGCACTTCTGCAGTGGATTTGTGCGCTTTATAAATCTTATCATCAAGTGAGGTCTCTTATAGATCGAACCGACTGCTTGAAGTTCCCTTCTGTAGAACCACAAGAGTGAAAAATTCATCTATCCCTACTATTGTTAACTTGCTTAATGAGCAACATAACCTATTTGGTGTTGCTTATTATAAGCAAGTAACAAGTTTTTCTAATCCCGTCTTAGTGGTTGCTTGGCATTATAATTTTATCTATCTTTTCCTTGAATGCAGCTTTTTTTCTATGGGTGGTTTTTTTTTCTATGGGTGGTTTTTTTTCTATGGGTGGTTTTTATGTACAATATTTGTCGTGTTCCTAAATTTAACATTTTTTGATTTTGTATTTGAAACAATTTAATAATTTGAAAAAAAATCATATTTTTATATATTTAAATTTTCTATATCGATTGTATTTTGATGTCATTAATGTAATGTCGTGGTTCGGGAAGCCTCAGTATTGATTTAGTCCTGATTCGACCACTGAGGTTTGGTGGATGAGACCAAATACCCATTCAGAAGAACAAAATACGTTTTGAGACCAGACTGCAATTACTATCTTTTCTTTTATTCCGACGTATACAGTAACGCAGGTATTCACACAGTAACGCAGGTATTCACCATCCGATACAAACAAAAAAAACCCTGGATCAGTAACACCAAATTCATAGAACTAACTTCATGGCATAGCAAACACTCTTAATACCATACGTCACCACAGGACGAAACTAGAAGTATTAAAACAAAGATTAATTAAATCATTGGTAAACGCATACATTGTACCGATTTTTAACAGTAGATTCCGTCTGTAAGCCTATTCTGATAAGCAAGACCAGAATACCAACTAGGCATGCATTACTTAACCTGTCTCTTATACACATCTAGATGTGTATAAGAGACAGAATGCTAATGAGGCAAACACTGCTTTTCAAAGGTTCACGAACACTTGAAAAAAGACAAAGAACTGTATATAAACAAATCAATCACTGTTCTATTATTAAATCGTAACAAAGAATATCCAATTCATTCTACCATATTGATATATCCACTCGAATATTAGATACTTGATATCAGTAAGGTCTCTATTAACTAGAACACAGAACCAAAGTACTTATTGAGTATTTCAAATTCACTGAAATTATCTGTTATTAATTTTCCATCCTCATACAATGTACTGATTCCCGCTTTTATTTTAGTAGGAAAACTAGCTAAGAAAAAGTTTCAAAAAGCTTTTGGATTTAATTTAATATTGCTATTCTATTAAGCTAATTATTGAATTTCTCAAAATTGTGAAGTGTTGGTAGTCTTCTTGTAATTTGGTTTTTAAGCAATGTCGCCAAGCTTTGTTTTTTGTCCTTCGGGGAAAACCTAAGGGGTTCTCAATGGTTCAGATTGCTTATACAGCTATATAATTTTTTTTTGTTCTAATTGGTAATGAATCCTCAGTAGCATTGACGACATTTATTTACATTTTCATCCAATTTTGGTCAACATCATTTAAACCCAACCCAATCGATAATAGACATTTATCTCCACAGAAGATCATAATATTCTTTATTAAACACAAATTTCTTACTAAATGTCAAAGTAGAAACAGTGGCTCTTTCAATCTCTCTTAGCATGATCACTTTTGCCGAAAGTGGCCTCAAAGCAATGACTAAATGGATGTTCATTTTATTGCAAAACTTGAGTTCCAATATTGAGGTCCCATGAGTGGCTAATTAAAGTCTCCTACAATAACCAATTATATACAGTATACCAGAGGGTGCGCTAGCGTAGCTCGCTTACCCTCTAGTATGTTAAACATCGCGATTAGTTTTGATAACATAGAACAATTATTTATTACCACTAAAAGTACAGACGAAAATACACAAAAAAATTCTACAGAAATTTATCACTGGGCCTAGACCCCTACGGTCAGGTTACCATGTTCTCCTAGAACTCATGGATAAATGTGGTGGTGAATGCTATGCATTTATTTGTGTTGATGGTAGGGATATGCCTATAGTTCGGTCGGTAGGCAGGGAGATTTTTGTTTGTTTGTTTTTTTTTTATTTCTTAAATTTTGTTCATTTTTTTTTTTTTTTTTTTTTTTGAAAATGGAGATTATTATTTAAAAAGAGAAAATATGTGTAATATCTTTGGGTTCAAGAACGTATCAAAACGTACACAATGACTTCATTTCCAGAACAATTTATTTCACAAACTCTAGAGGGCTCACGTCTCACATAATGTTACAGTATTTAAATGATCCATGTATATTACATTCCTCCCTCCTTAAAGAAATTGTCATCCCTGTGAAAAATTGTTGAACTACAGAACAGTATAGAATTTTTATGAACTACGCCACTCTCAACCCATTTCACAGGAAATGTATTATTTTGTGAATCTCAACTAACAATTAGGGTTAATTATTGGTTTAACTCAAAAGGAACACTAGTATAACACAACACCAATAAAACTGTTGACACACTGAGTTGTTATTTGTGTGCCTGTTTACAAAATTAGTCGATCTGGAGCCTTACGGACTCTTACAGGATAGCGCCTCTCCTGAGCAATACCTGCACTAGGTACCAGAGGGCTTGGCTGAATATCAGCAATTTGTGGATCCACACTGAGTGGAACCTGGTCCTTCTGAACCGGAGTCCCTTTCCCATTTTCAGATTTTTCTAGACCATCCAGAACCTCCATCTGAAGTCCTTCTGGACTAGTCAGTGGGACTTGAACGTCTACTGAGGGATTGTCTGCAGACTTACATGGTACCCCCTTCTCTTTGGAACTCAATATGTGGTCTATGTGTACAAATCGAATCTTACAATTGTTATACATGTATACCAAATAGGTACGAGAACCACAA